GCTTACAACTGTTACGAGGGTGAACGCGAGATTTGCAGAAGATTTGAAGTACTGGATGGTCTGTGTTGCACGAGCTTATGAAGGATTGAGTTTAATCTCACTATGGTATTATGACAGTAATAGAGTATATGCATTATGAGTTATTGTGTGTTTTGATCTATGGCTTTGAGCCAAGTGGGGGAGTCTGCTATTGATTAGTCGATTGCACGATTAAGTGCTATGTTGGTTCCAGTTTGAGGCGTACTGGTGAATCAGTTATGGCTTACGGAGGTTGAGACCGAGGATGGCTCGAGTAAAGGAAATTTTAATAAAAATTATTTTATGCTTTATAGGTGTATGAGAATCACGGAATGACTTGAGTTCTTATTAGTAAGGGATGTACGGTGCATAGAACAGGAAGTTGCTTGGTTGCATTAAGGTGAGGTTACATTCTGCTGTATTGGAGTTCTATTGGAGCACAGGTTGTCCGGTACATTTGATCGGCCTAATTGCGGTTTGAGTAGAGTGGATGACTCTAGAGAATAGATCTAATGAGTTCAGGATTTTACATGTAATAATTGGAGATTTTCAAGTTGTATAATTGGCTAGAAACTGAGGTTTGCATTGGAGGGTGTCAAGACTCGTGTTATTTCTATATCATTATGGGATTCTATATATCAGTATCAGAAAGGTGAAGGTAATGGCTTTGGGTTCGCATGGAGTCACTTCAGGGTAGGTATTTTGAATGTGGTGCGTTTGGGAATATTTAAGAGAGTATCCAGCGGCTTATGAGCCTTAGATGGTATGGTTTTATGCTTTGGTCTCATGTGGTAAGTGTGGGTTGAGGAATTGTGGTGTTATAGCAAGAAGAAGTATCAAGTTGGAGGTAAATCAGAAGGAACTTAGGTAGATGAGATAGCTTGGTAGTAGGCCGGATCGGCATGGTAGGGATATGATTAGTTCTTTGGATGCTTATGAGGTAATGAGCTTTTGCAGGAGTCTCGCGGCAATGCTTTTGGGCTTTAGTGGCCTGTGTAGCTTGGTTGAGTTAGAAGGATTCAGTCTTGACGGTTTAGTTTTGTGCAAATGGAATTTGGAGAGTTCTTGATGGTTTCTACCACGGTTAGAGATGTATATTTTATACGAGTGTGAAGAGGATGGATGTATAGTGATTTTCTTCTGGATGGGATCAATGAAAAGTTCTTGGCTAGTGAGAATGTAGTTGCTTGTGGTTCGGAAGGGATATGAAGTTCTCATGTTTATTCTTGGATGGTATGGTATATGCGGTATGTTGTGTAGGATTGAGATTTGCATGTGTAAGGTCAGGGTTCAGTTTTGAAAGGAAGGTCACAAATTCTTAGGTAGCATGGACAGTTTCAGATGACTAGATAAATGAGATCACTGATTAGTGTGGCTTGATGAGGGTATACATTTTAGGAAGGGCGATGTGTTTGAGTTGAAGATATTCATTAGTATTGCGACACTCTCTTATTGGATCGATGGCGGATATTCGAGTTTGATTGGTGGCACAGAAGAATTATAGGAGTACCTTTCGTGGGATGATTGGGTAATAGAGGTGTGTTGTATATTCGGACGATGGAGTTGGGATCGGATATGGTGATTCGCGTGCTGTATGGATTTGGAGACTGGGAGTTCTCATAAACAGGTTAGGTCGTGGTTGTGGACCACATGTATTGGTCTTGTATGGTAACTATTGGAGGTTTGGAGACCCGAGTGGATCATTGTTGCTTAGTATGCTAGATTTTGGTGTGATATTGGGTAAGGACTGGTTGTCTTCGCATCGTGTTATTCTGGACTATTGCGCTAAGGTGGCAACGTTGGCTATGCCGATAATGCCACGGATTGAGTGGCAAGGTTCGACGGATTATGTTCCCAGTAGGATGGTTCCATTTTTGAAGACCCAGCGGATGGTTGGGAAGGGTTGTATTTCTTATTTGGCCTTCGTGATGGATGTCACTACAGAGACTCCTACCATGGATTCAGTTCCGATAGTGAGAGACTTTCCGGTTGTTTCTCCTACTGTGGGGCATGTCGCCAGACAGGGTTGTTGATTTCAGTATTGATTTGGTGCCGGGCACCATATCATATGACACCGGCGGAGTTAAAGCAGTTGAAGGAGTAGCTTTAGGGACTCCTTGATAAGGGATTCATTGGTAGGCTATTGTGGATGTGTGTTCTAACTTGAGTTGGCTTGGTTGACCCCGAGTTGTATTGTGAGGGATGTGTTGATTCGATTGTTGTTAAGCTTATTAGTGATCTAGGAAGATCTATGAGTTATCTTTCCGTGTTGCGAGGCGTTGGGATTTGTTGGTTATAGGCACATGTGGTGCGGTTTTATTGGGGTCTCTCAGTGGAATTCGAGCGGAAAGAGTATTGGGTATTGCTCGGCGGATAGAGTATCGGTTGTGTCCTTTCGGGTTTGTGTAATGTTATATCAATTGCTTCGTCGTGGTTATGATAATTTGCTTTGGTTCTAGATATCAAATTGCGCGTGGTTGTCGATTTGAGCATAGTGACTTGAGGTGTTTCATGTGGACCAGTGTTTGGATGAGGTTGCGCATTAGAGCGGAGCTATGATCCTACGAGATAAATTCGTGTGTTCTGGTTCTACAACGTGTGATGGGTTCCCAGCATTGTGTTGTGGTGGTATTGGTGAGCTTGCGGTACAGTTCTCTCATTTGAGTCATTTTCATGATTTGAGTATGTTCGGATTGTTGCTTATTGGTGCGCGAATTGCATGAGTTGGTGATTTAGATTGTATTAATGTGCCATGTTACCAGAATAGTTGTGTTGGATTAGATGAGATAGTTGGGATCTATAATGAATACAAACGGATTTGGTTTTAGCATGTTGGAAGGATAATATCGATGTTCGGCTTAGAAATTGCTATGGTGTTTGCCAAAAGAGAAATGGCTTCAGGAATGGTTGATCTGAGGAATGGTTATGACTTTCTACGTGTTTCATTTATCATTGGCAGTATACGGAAGTGATGGAATGAGGCTTTATTTGAGAAGAGACTTATTATCGAAATTCGGATGTTTTGAGCAACTGTTGTGATTAGAAGTTATCGCTACAAGTGTTTGAGTTATATGGTACATCATGTAATTGCACCTGAGGTTGCAGGTATGGTTTATTACAGCTTGTTCGGGCTTATTCAGAGTATAAATGTGAGATTCTAATCTTGTAGATGATTTCAGAAGTGGAAATGTGGTTCTAAGGTTTATGGGCTAGGTTGGATTGCGAAATTTCAGTTACATTGTGTTATCATGCCTATATAAGATAGGGTGACGTGGGATCACCCCTAGGGTATGTGCATGGTAAGGTTACACAGTGATTTGGTGGTTTTCGAAACAACTCTGGGCACGTTCGAGGACGAACATATGTTTAAGTGGGGGAAGATGTAACGACCCGACCGGTCGTTTTGAGCATTTTCACTTCACTCGCCAGTTCTCGGGCATGACTAGCCCCGTGTGATGTATTATGACTTATTTTAATCGTCGATTTTGGTTTTCAGGGTAATCAGAATGAATTTGGAAGAATAGTTCTCAGTTTGAAGCTTAAAATTTGAAAGGTTTGACCAAGTTTTGACTTGCTAGTATATGATCTCGGATTGGAATTTTTATGATTTGGTTAGCTCCGTTAGGGGATTTGGGACTTAGGAGCGTGATCGGAATGCATTTTGGAGGTCCGTGGAAGGTTTAGGCTTGAATTGGCGAAATTGAAATTTGGCGTTTCTCGGTTGATAGGTGAGATTTTGATATAGGGTTCGGAATGGAATTTCGAAAGTTGGAGTAGGTCCGTTGTATCATTTGTGACACCCCGATGTCGGCCTTGTGTATTTATTCCACACTGTTCATTTAGACTTACATTATGAGATATCTGATTAATTAAAGGCTTAAAAATGATTGTTATTGATTAAATGGTTAAATTTGGGAGTTGTATCGGCTGACCTAGTTTCATGATATGCGCCATCACGACCGGGTCGGTTTTAGGGTCGTGACAAGAAAATAACATAGGCTAGTCATTTTTCGAACTAGTAATTAAAAAATAACCAGCGTTTGCGAAGTCATTAAAAATAATCATTATTTTGCTGAAACACGGAAAGTTTCAGCATAATATGTGTGATTATAGAGCTCCTGCATATAAAGTTCTAGCATATTATGTTGGAACTCCAGCACACAGAAAGTTCCAGCATAATATGCTGGATTATGGAGTTCCTGCATATAAAATTCCCGCATATTGTGTTGAAACTTCAACATATTATGAAATTCCAGCACATTATGGTGGAAGCTCATATTTAAAATATTCGAACTCTAGCATATTATGCTGGAATATTTTTGGATTTTTAAGGATGTTTTTGTTTAGATTTTATCTTTACATGAAAAAGTGGTTAAACTTCAATTAATTTTATAATTGTGGCTATTTTTTGAATATCAATCGTAAATCTGACTATTTTTTACTTGGCCAAATATATATATATATATATATATATATATGTGGACCCCTAAACTTGTCCAATTATTCCATTTATGCATTTAAACTCAAACTAGTACCTCTTGAACATCTAAACTCCTTGAAAAGTCTTTTATTAGACACACTTTTGATAGCTTATACAGAAAACAACGTACGTGCATTTAATGCGTATGACATGGAACATGTCACCAATAAGAAAAATACATGTTGAAAAAAACGACATGTCAGAACCCTCTCATCTCCCTCTCATTCTGTTCTTCTTCAACGCTTTCGTCACATTTCTGGAAAAAACTCCAGTCCCATCCCCTTCGCTTGTAGTCAAGATTTCTAGAGGCGCGGGATGGCCACTATCGACACTGGACTGATATGTTGAGCTGCTGGTTTGAATCATAAATTTAAAGCTAGCATTAATATTTTTTTTTGGTAACTAACTTTTTATTAATCACCAGTAAACTTTACAAATTACCATAGCTAGCTAACATAGCTAGGCTATCATATTTACATGATGCTCTACTCTTCCTATATTTTTAAAATCTAAATCTTTGAACTACATCAACTAATCTAGGAGGAGCTCGTACACAGCAAATACAAGCTATCTCTTTAGCTATCCTCTCCCATCCTTTACTTGTTTTCTCAAAAATCCTTTTGTTCCTCTCTATCCATATACTATGTACTACTTCAGAATATATCATCTTGAATAGTTGAGCTTCCTTTGACTTTCCTTTAGCTCTCTTGATCACCTCATATACATATTGTTCCCAGGTAGCTGCTACTATATTTTGGTTCTGTGTCCAGTGCATCAGCTTTTGAATCACTATTTTTGTATAGTCACACTCCACAAAGAGATGATCTCTTGTTTCCTCTTCTCTCTGACATAAGCTGTATTTACTTTCTATCTGTATTCCCCATTTGCTCAATCTGTCAGCAGTAAGTAGTCTATTCTGCATTTGCAACCACATCATGAACTTAGCTTTTGGCCTTGCAGCATTACCAAACATCAAACACTTCCATGGCATTCTTGGTTGATCACCTAGTAGCTGAAGATATATATGTTTAATGCTTCCTTTTTCCTTGCAGATATGTACATTGTTCTGTTCTAATAGATGTTTGGCTTCTATTATTTTCCTTACCATCCAACTTGCTTGTTATGGAACTTTTACTTGCTCCATCTGTTTACCTTTTATATAGTATGCATGAATCCACCTTATCCACATTCTATCCTCTTTCTTTGCTAAATTCCAATACAGTTTAATTATAGCTGCCTTGTTCCAGATTTTCATGTTAATGAGGTTCCATCCTCCACTGCTCTTAGGACATCAAACTTTTTCCCAGATGATTAGTGCTTTCTTTGTAATGACAATATTTCCTGTCCAAAGATAACTTCTACAAAAACTCTCCACAGCTTTCATCACCTTTTGTTGGCAATATGAACAATTGGGCCCAATAGGACTGGACTCCAAACAAAACACTACTTATCAGTTGACTTCTTCCTGCATATGACAGTTTTTTGGTTGTCCATAAAGTGATCCTTGCTAAAATTTTCTCAATGAGGGGCTGCCATTGTATCATTGTTAGCTTCCTTGTTGACGATGGAACTCCTAGATATTTGAAATTCCTCTTGTAAATCCCAGTGTTTGCAGAATCTGCTCTTGGACTTGTTGCCCCACCCCTCCAAAATAAATGGAGCTTTTACCAATGTTTGCTTGTAATCCTGAGGCATCTGAGAATTGATTAAAACTTTGCAGTACCTCAATTACTGATTCAACATCTCCTCTAGAAAATATTAAAAGATCATCTACAAAACATAAATGAGTTAGTTTTAACTTGGCACATCTGGGATGGTAATGGTACTACTTCCTCTCTGCCATTTCCTTTAAGATTCTACTTAGATACTCCATTGCAATTGCAAATAGAAAATGGAGACATAGGATCCCCTTGTCTAAGTCCCTTCTCAGCATTGAAAGGATCAGTTGGTTCTCCATTCACCATGATAGTATAGTTTACTGTTTTAACACATTTCATCACCCAAGCTATAAATCTTTCTGGGAATCCTATCATCCTCATATTCTGTTCCAAATAGCTCCATTCTATTGAATCATAAGCTTTTTGTATGTCTATTTTTATCATGCACCTTGGTGATATATGTTTCCTTGTGTATCCCTTTATTAGTTCATGAGCCAAAATAATATTATATCCTATTTTCCTGCCTGGGACAAAACCAGCTTGTGCTTCACATATAATCCCTCCAATTACCTTCTGCATTCTTGCAGCAAAGATCTTTGAAATCAGTTAGTATATCACTGTGCAACATGCTATTGGTCTATACTCTTTGATTGTTGTTGGATTATCTACCTTGGGTGTCAGTGTGATGGTTGTACAGTTAATGAGTCTATATAATCTTCTTGTTGAGAAGAAGTCTTGTATTGCTATAGTCACTTCACTGCCAATAATGTGCCATGCTTTTTTGAAAAACACAGCATTATATCCATCTATCCCTGGAGCCTTATCATCTCCTATTCCTTTTAACCCCTCAAACACTTCCTGTTTAGTAACTTCTTTACATAATATCAGCCTTTGTTCTTGAGTCAGCATTGACCCTTTCTTCATTACTTTTCTATTTACTACTGTAAGTCTTTTTGCTTATGTGCCCATTAGACTCTTATAGAATCTAATTATATCCTCTTTAACCTCAGATGGTTTGTTGATTTTCTTCCCATCCATAATTATTAGTTCCTTTATTTGCTTTATGTGCTTCCTTTCTTTCATTACTGCTGAGAAATACTTAGTGTTTTCATCTCCCAGCTGTATCCATTTAGCCCTTGCCTTTTGTTTCATAATACTCTCTTCAATCATTGACCACTTTTCCAGTTTTTGTAATGCATTTCTCTCTTGTTCTTGCATAGTATCAGTATAATTCTGTTGCATCTAACTCTGCACTTTTCTGATTTCATTCCTTGCTTCTTTTATTTTCTGTTCAACATTTCTGAATTCTCTATTGTTCAATATCTCAGTCTGGTTTTTAGTGCTTTCAGTTTTCTCCATATTCCCTTTATAAGCCAAGGGTCTTTGTGTTGCTCCCAAGTTTCTTCTATTATTTGATCAAAGTCTATGTGATCTGCCCAAACATTGAAGAACCTAAATGGACACCTAGTATTATTCTGCTCCTCTCCCATGGTCAGCAACATTGGTGTATGATTAAATATCCCTGGCAGGTCATATTCCACTACTATATTACCCCATTTCATCATCCATTCATAGTTCCCAAATGCCTTATCAATTCTGCTTTGAATTCTATCCTCAACTCTTTGTTTATTGGTCCATGTATAGTAATCCCATTTCCATATCACTTCATTTAGGTTAGTTGTCTGAATGCAATCAACAAAATCTTGAACATCAGCTTGTTGCACTGGATTACCTTGATCTCTATCTACTGAACTTAGTATTGCATTAAAAACCTTTATCACTAGCCAAGGTTTGGTAATACCTTGGGCTACTGTCTTCAGATCCTCCCATAACCCTCTCATTTGTTCAATTGTATTGAAACCATATATGAAAGTCACCAAGCAATCTGTTTGATATGCACTTCCTGTAATTTCACAGTGCATCATCTGAGCAGTCTCCGTCATCTTAACTACCTAATAGTTATTTGTGTCCCATAGTACCCATATCCTCCCATTTCTAGAAGATGAATAGTTATGCAAACTATTCCATCCCATGGCTATATTTCTAGTAATTATTCCAGCTTTATTTTCCTTGACCCTTGTTTCAACAATAACAGCTATTCCTATTTTTTTTTTGTTTCAGGATTTTCTTCAATTTTTCTACTTATATCTCTTATTCAATCCCCTTATATTCCATACTAACCAATTCATAATGATCTCTTTGCCTTACCTCCTATATCAGGAGGTACAGTGTGAGCACCATTCCTCTCTCTACTTAGTATTTGAAACCCATTCCTCAGTGGAACTGACCAAGCACTGGAAAATTGATATCATTAAACTCTGGGCTTGTCCTCTCCAACTCTTGATTTTTGTTCATAACCTTAGGTGTTTGATCTTCTTGCAATACTGGCATATTCACCTTGATCACCCCTGAACTTTGCCCTGCTTCCATTACCCTTGCAGTCTCCTGTTGTTGCTTGCTTAGATCTTGTTCTGGCATAGCTTCTTCTTCTGCTTGTTGTGTCTTAGCTTTCTCTTTAGTCACCCATTGCTGTGTTATCTTCTTAGGCTTTCTCTTTTCATTCATAGTTTTTACTATATTGCTTCTGTCCTCTCCCTTCTTGCTCGCAGTTATGCCCAATGACCTGACATGTTTCACAGAATTTAGGTTTCCAATCATAGTTAATTGGCTGCATTAAGGTCCTTCCATTTGAATCTTCAACAATTACTTCATCCTTCAGAGGTTTTGTCACATCCACCTCTATTAGCATCCTGACATAGTATACTCTCAATTGTTTAGCAGTACACTCATCAGCATACGTAGGCGTGTTAATTGAACTTGCTATTCTACTTAGTGAGTTCACTCCCCAGCAATTCAGTGGAAGTTTTTGAAATTTAATCCATAAAGGAATTTCAGTGGGGAATTCCTTCTTAAAATCGAAATCAGTTGTCCATTGTTTAAGAATAATAGGCCTATTATTGATTGTGTATGGACCAGCTAACAGAATTTCCTGCATATCCTCCATCGTCTTAAACTTGATAATGTAATACCCATCCTCATGCATATATAGATCTGGATCTGGAATTGTGTTCCAATTAACTTCTATAAACCTTTTCATTACATTGTATCATGGTAACTCTCCCAATACATACGCAATTAGAGCCCCTTTCCATTTTTTAGTTTCTCTATCAACCTCTTCCTTATCTAATTGAACAATAACTTGTCCATCCACCACTTGTGGTGGAATATACGTTAGTTTCATACCATTTTATGTTGCTCTATTCTTCGCAAATAAGCTCGTCCATGCTGATTTCTCCTCCACCCTTGGCCCTTCCTTGTTCTCTTCAGCTAGTGTTACTGTTCCATTGGCTTGCGGTTGAATGTTGATCTCAATCACTTTAGTTGCTTTCCCACCTAGATTTCGGTCTTTCAAAGCTGCATCTGGACTCGATGGGGACTCGTGGTTACCAGCTGAAGCTTCTACTTGTGACTTAGCTGTAGATCCTTTGTTTGCATGCGCTGTTCTAATCTCATCTTCCTTCGAATCTTCATTGTTTCCAGCTGTAATTTCGAAATTATCAATCGGTATCTTCCGTGGTCGGCCTCGTCCTCTTCCTTGGCCATCACCCCTGCCTCTCGCCCCTGCCATTGACACACCAGCGTAAGTTAGACTAACTTACGCTGAGAGCATTGAGAGAGAGCAATCATTTCTTATTGCCTTTTAAATATTTTTTTTCAAAAAGCCATTAGTAATTTCGTATTAATAGCTTTCTTTTCTGAAAATGAAAATTCCAAGCCATGGTGATTTATGTCTCTAGACTTCTGGAGGAAAAGAAAATTTTCTCTCTCTCGTATAGCTCAAACAGTGTTTACTAAAAGTGAATGTTCCAGCATTCCAGTATCTACCATTTACCAGAGATTAAAGAAAAGAACACAGTAATTAGCTTCACGGTGGTTATGGTGAAAAGTATGTTAATGGTGATTAGGGTGGTGTTGGAATTGCGTGGAGACGAAAGAAGATCTAGAGTTTCTTTAAAGTGTTCTTGTTCGAAAAGCAAGAAGTGGGTACGGCAAGCAACCATGGATGAAGGAACTTGCCACTGGCCATAAAATTTTCCGGCAAGGAGATGGATAGCTTCAGGCTAGCAAAACCAAGAGGAAGTGAAAACAAGAAAAAAAGAGAAATAGAAAGAGAGAGAGAAAAAAAAAGGATTACCCATTTTGAGGAACTCAACGCGCTCACGGGGAGTGGAATTTACACGCTTTGCCATGACACTAAAATATGTTGTTTAATTAAACATTTTGGAGTAGTTTAGGCACTCAATAGGTACTAGCCCTAATTCATGTCTCTAAATTGGAATAATGAGACAAGTTTAGAGGGCTGCACATGTATTTGGCCTTTTTATTTTTTCCACGAGTTCATGTCCTATGGTTTGGTTTCTAGAAATGACATTAACCTTAAAAGCCTACAATTGAAAGTTCTTATCAAACTTGGCCTCTCTCTTGGACTTCATTTTCAACCGTTCAATTCCACTTCAACCTTTTCTAAATCACAAAGAATCAGAAAACCACAGATACTAGCCAAATGCTTCTACATTACCACAATTTATGGTCTTTCCTATGCCGTATGCACTCAATTTTAGAAGAATAATATTCCAAATGTTTGTAAAGAATTCAAATCACTGCGAGGAGCAAAGAGCTTAGTTTTACAAATCGCAAATCCATATCTCTTTCTTCTCTCACTCATAGAACTAACGGTGGTAAAATGGATTTAGAAAAAAAAAATATTTATATTATCCATTAAAAAATAGGCTGAATAATAAACTTTCTAAAAATTGGTCAAATATTGATGAGATGTATATTATCCATTTTAAAAAATGGATAACTAATGAATTTAATTTTTATATTTGCAAAGACCCAAATTGGGGTTTCTCAAGTTCGGGAGATTAAGAATTCTCTGATCATATTCAAGAAGTCATGAATAATATGGATATTCATATTATCTGCATGTTAACCGATTTTTTATCCATATTATATATGAATCGAGTCAAATAATTTATCCGTTTTTACATTACCCGTTTTCGATCCGTCCATATCCGGCCCGACCAGACCTTCTCGTTTGCCACCCGGGGGCTAATTTCATTAATAGCAGACTATTACAAAAATATAATACAAAAGATTAGCATTAATTAATGATTAATAAATATTGCAGTAAAATATTTATATATGCAGCAAATTTCATTTAATTCAAATCACGAAGAATTAAGCTGCTTAAAAAGGCAATCCTAGTTTTTCATATATTTCCCTATTTTTTCTCGCCATTTCATAATATGTTTTATATTTTCCTATTTTTCCCTAGGAAACCAATCTATTCCATAGCATATTTATGTTTTTTTTCTTTCCATAATGGACCTTTTTATACAACACAATGTAGCAAAATTATACATATGTATATTCTGATGAAATAAAAAATATATATTTCATGAAAAAAATATGATGTATATTTGTGGTAGATATACATTATAGATCATGTATTTTTTAGGCAAAATTATGTATATATACATATGTTGTTTATACACATCTTTATATTTAAATATATATCATCAATTCATTCCGTAACATAATTCTTTTTTTCATACATGGAACTTTTTATTCAACTTAATCCTAGTGAAATTATATATCTATATATTCTAGTAATAATATATATATTTCGTTAAAAAATTATAATGTATGTTTGTGGTATATGTACATTATAAATCATGTACTTTTTAGAAAAAAATCATGTGTATATGCATATTTTATTTATACACTTATTTATATTCAAATAAATATTATTAATATACCACTTATATTTTGCACTAGTATAACATGCATATTTGTATAAATTAACAGTAGATAAACAATATATGTAACATTTTTTTTTTCTATATACATATAAGTGGCATGTTAATATTTTAGATTAAATTTTTATGTGAGGTATTTACTGGCAATATACTTTGAATAATATCAATAAAATAATAATATCAATGGTCATTACATAAGTATTTGTTCTATTAATGGTATAAGAATGGGAGAATATATGACGACTAAGGTGTCACGGCCCAAAATTCCTCCGAAGGAGTTGTGATGGTACTTAGTCTCTAAAACTAGGTAAGTCTAACACATACCGAAATGATGACAGGTTCTAGCTATTAAACATGAACTAGAAATTTCTAAATAAACCAATAGTCTCAACATGATACAATATCCCAAAACCGATAGTA